ATAATAAATATTATTATTATTTTATTATTTTATAACTATGATTATTTTAATGCTTCACTTAATATTACTATCCTTATACATATATTCTTTTTATTCGTTTTAAACTAATACTAATAATAGTTATCAATGATAATATTAATAATGTTTTTATTTTTATTTTTTTAGATTTCATTCTTATTCTTCACATTCTTATAACTCAAACGTAAATAATAATCAGTATTATTATAATGTTAAGAAGATGATAAATAATAAAAGTAAGAGGAAGAAGTGGAATATAAAAACATTTTATAAAGATAAACGAATACTTTTTTAAACAATAATGATGATGATTAAAAGATAGTACAATAATGAGGAATGTATTCGTTTCTCTTTATACACTACTAAGATATTTCACTTCTTCTTCGTTTTATTATTTTTCATCTGCTTTCTCTTATAATGAAGAATATAATACCAAAATACCACCACTAACTATTATTATTATTGTTGCTTACCAAGAATAATTTTTAGTAGCAATATAAGTAGTAGTCGTATTTTATTATTACATTCTTATCATAAGCGGAAGAAGACAAATAATAATAAATAAGTGGAAGAAGTAGAAGGAGTGAAAGGAACATAAGAATAATAGAACATGACTGGCAATGCTGAAAATGCTGGACCGTAAATGCTAAGCGGCTCGCTACGATATCTTTCGAATGTGTAACGCTTTGCAAACTATCCTGTAATTTGACGTCATTGCTTTTACTTAATCATCTTCGATTAAGTCACTCATCAAAAACATCGAGAGGAGAAGCGGAGACCAAGAAAACATAAAAATATGATAAGAAATTCCAGCAATACGATAAGATTGAGCTTTTATTGGCCCTGCCACTTGGAAAACTTTTATGCTCAGCTGGTCTGGAATGTCTATTTCTTCGACGTCTCATCCTCACCAGTAACGAGAATCTAAATCAGGTCAAGTCCCTTAATTTGTGAACATCTACCACTCGGATACACAGACAGGGTGCTTAAAGGTCACAGGGCAGTATGACTTACAAGGCAAAGCATATTTCTCTCAATTCAGATTCCTAATCGAATTGTTATCGACAGGACAGAATAAGGTCGACAGTTGCAATCATTCACACTACTGTATTGCGTCTAAGTAGTATTATAGTAATGACAACTGAATTTCGTACAATGAAATTCCTATATAATTATAAATAAATAAATAAATAAATATATGTATGTGTGTATGTGTGTGTGCTTATTTAATATTAATGAGTCGTAAGTTGCGAGCCCCAAATAGATTCGTGATTATTCAAGTTCCCTATTAATCAGCTTTACTTCCTACTACCACAACTAGTTACCACTCAATTTCCTAAAAGCATTCATCTTATTCAGAATGTTGGCTATTTTCGTCTATAATTAAGGTTTTGAGACTACCAGTAAATCAGCCATACAACAGGTAAGACATGTAGTTGAATTTTACCACAATCATATGAGTAGACTATCAGTCCTTCAGCACCTTAAACAAAATAGAGTGAATCCATCTCATATGTTGGCTGCTTTGTTAATTTTTATATACTCCCCAATCCTATAAGCATTGATGCATATTCCCAGATGCGTTTTAGATAAGTCTATTGCTTGTCCTGTATTGGACAACTGTTTAGCGATTTCAGATTTTTTGATCCTTACACCTTAACAGGCTGTTTTGTCTTCTTATCCTCCTTTCTGGATGGGTAGCACGTGGTCATTACCGGATGAGCACGAAACCCTGTACTACCTTAACCTAGAAAAAGTGACCGTAGACTCTCGGAAGGAAGCTATGACTGATGAAGGGACTAATTCCTCTATAGACATTTCTGTGATGCTAAAAGCCATCAGTGTTACATTTGCTTCTTCCAAAGCGGACACAACGGCAACATTAGGAACCGAGGAGAGTGGTGCACCTGGCCGTCCTGCCCTGATTAACTATTTCCCTGCGTTACCATCATTTTTAATTAAATGTAATCGCATATTTGTTCTTGCGGGTAATTGCTTTGAGCCAAGATTTCCTCTGAAATACCCAGTTCCCGATGTCACCGATTTCCACCTTCTAGTTACAGACTTTTTGGTATCGCCGATTTCATACTTTACATGCATAAATAGAAAATAAAGAAACCCGCAAATTTGGCTCTCTACACCCATCTCCACCCAAAGTAATTGCTTCTTTACTCACTGAGATGTCCAGATAATGTTAGCCTAGCTTAAGTTACTAGAAATGAGTAAGCTTGTAGTCATCTATCCTCTTTGGTTTGATGTTGTAATGAATGAATGGATCCGCATTACAGAATTGCTTCGCAGAACAATAGTCTCTGCTCAGAAGCAATCCTCGTTCTGTTTCTAGGGCGGCCAATTCGCAAATCTTTTTAAAGACAACTTATCCTTCAAAATGAAACGTCGAGTCACGTAAGATTAGAAAGAGAGTCATCCAGACTTAGATTTCTCTATTAATGCCGCATATTAGTTTGCTTTACCGACAACGATCCCATTCAAAGTGTGAAGACTGGCTTGCCTTGAAATTGACATCAGTTTTGTTATCAATCCGCCCTCATGTGTGTGTCTGGAGGTATGAATTGTAGCCACTTAACGCGCCCCAGCTAATCATGAAGCTTTTTGATTCTGCTGATGAGGCTGAAACGTAAATTATACTCAGTCGAGAAGGACTTTGGTAGGCAAGCCTTGGTAAGAATCAAAGTAAATCCGTAAAATCACATTTTGAAATACATCACTATAAATAAAATAATTATAATAATTATATATTTATATAACATGTAGACAATAAATATATAATATATTAGAACTGCATTTATTAATCTTACCACTTAGCCATGAAAAATCGT